GAGCCTTGGTTTCCCAAAATGTAAAATATGGTAACAATAGTAGTCTTCAAAGAGTTGTAAGGATTATTCATGATAGCCTATGCACATCACCTGCCACTCTGAGTTAATAAAAGCAAATGTTGCCCTAATAGGAGAAAACAAGGGAGAAACAAAGAGGTCTCTTTGACCTGTCCTATGCTTTGTCTGTGGGATTGGGGGAGGGGGGGGATGCCTGTTGGCGAATTTATTGCTTTGTGGTAGGAATGGATTTTCCTAAAGCTGTTTCCCTCAGATCATTAACAATCCCTGCACAGGGAAGAGCTATTGTTCTTTAGCATGAGTAAATAACCCCGTTGGAGGAGCAGCTTATCTGCAGCCCGCAGAGCAGGCTTCTTACTGGAAATTGAATGTAGGTGCCAACACCAAAGGCATCACCAGGCTTCACTTCCTATTTTTCTTCCTCTATCTCTTACTCCTTCAGTGTCCTTTCTCCTAGACCTGCTAGCCTCCTGGCTTTGGGGCTTTTACTCGTCTCCTATAGAACACCATCCTTACTCAAAGGCAAGTAACTTTCAAGAGAAGCTGCCCCACACCCATGTCGCTCCCTCCCCTACCAATGAGCACACATACCGTGGACTGGTTTCTTGTTCTGCATTCTGTGTTTGGTTACTGGAATCCAAAAAAGGAAGTGTCATGCCACACAAATCTCAGGATATGCTTCTGGGGCGGACTTGGACTTAATCACACCACAGCTATTCTCTGAAACGGCCTCCTTATTTTCACACGGAAAGTGACCAGAAGACAGTGTGTCAGATAGGGGGCAGGGAGATAAGGGTAGGCTGTATCTTCATTTCATTTCATGAAAAAGAAGTGAGGCTAGCCTCTATAGATATACATATTTTAATCATTTTATTGGGAGCTCTTAGTTCTTTTAACATTCCATACTTCAATTGTATCAAGCACATTTGTACGTATGTTGACATCATTTTCTAAACATTTACTTTTTATTTGAGCCCTTAGTATCAGATCCTCTTTTTTCCCTTCCACCCTCATGGCCCCTTGATAAAGTATAAATGATTATTATTATTTTTTTATATTGTACATCGACAGCTGTGTCCCTTCACCTATATAATGTTTCTGTTGTTCGTCCTCTAGATGAGATATCTTAAGAACATGGAAAAAAACAAAAATATCAATGTCTGAAAGGCAGATCAAATAATAGATTGGATGGTAGTGGGTTTGGTTTGGGGGTTTATCCAAAACAGGATCCTTCAAGGCAAGTACACCCATTCTAAACATATTATGCCACTGCTGGCGCATGTACAAGGTTACTATATTTGTGTAGGAGGACTCTCATTGGGCTATTGTAAGCAAGAAATACAAAGCCATCCCTCCCTCCCCAACCTCATCAAAATTCTAAATGGAAACCAAAGGTCTTGGTCCCTCAATTCAAAAGACATTAAAGTATCTGTTTATTCATCGGCATTTTTAAGAAAGAGGCAGGAAAAGGGTCAGTTTCCAAAAATAGAAGGCAGTGTTAAGGGTGCAAAGGAAGAGCTGCTAACAGATGCAGCACTAGGCCAATCAACCCCAGTCATTCATTCATTAACCCCCCAGCCAGGATCTTCAACCCTCCACAAAAATCAAACCAAGTATATTGCCATCTAGTTGAATCCAACTCCTAGCGACCCTAACTAGGGCTCGGAGACTGTCAAGCTTCACAAGCTTCATCTTTCTCCTGCAGGGTAGCTGGTGGATGTGAGCTCCGGATCTTGTGTTTGCCAAGGCTCCTCAAATTTGGAAAGCTCAAAACACTAATTCAGATGTCTCCTTTGAAATAATTTTCTAGGAAACTCAATGGACTTTAGTTATCATATTACATAGAGCTGGAGCTTTTTAGAATGTGGCTTTATTCCAACCAACTAATAAACTGCAGCACTCTATGTAGGTACAGGGAGCTCTAGTGACGGAGTGGGTTATGCATTGAGCTGCTAGTCACAAATTGGCAGTTTGAATCCACCAGTTGCTCCACAGGAGAAGACAGGGCTGTCTACTCCTGTGCAGATTCAGTCTTGGAAACCCAAAGGGGGTAGTTCTGCCCTGTCCTTCAGGGTGGCCGTGAGTTGGAACTGACCCCATAGCAATGAGTTTTGAGTTTATGTAGGTACAGCTTCCAAGCACCTTCTACCTATCAAACCAATGTTTTGTTATCTAAAGCAGCAGCAAGCAACAAGCCCACATGGAAAAGCACACCAGCCTGTGCGATCATGAGGTGTCGATGGGATTGGCTAACAGGCACCAGAAGGTCCAAAACAAACAAAACCATATTGTTGCAAATGAGGGGCATGGGAGCAGAGACCCCAAACCCATCTGTAAACAATGGGACATCCCCTCACAGAAGGGTCACAAGGAAGGAATGAGTCAACCAGGGCGCAGTATAGCACCAATGAAACAATATTCCTCTGGTTCCTTGACACTTCCTCACCCCTCACTACCATGACCCCAGTCTTACTTTCACTGCAGGCTAGACTGGAGCATGTACACAGGTAGAGATAAGAGCTCAGGACACAGAGAAACCAGGAACAGGAATGGGAGTAGAGATACCAGGTGGGGAGGGAGAAGATGGGGAGAGGAGGGGAGGAAGGGGGAACCGATTGCAATGATGGACATATAACTGGCACCGCACCCCCGCCCCCCTGCCGCGGGAGGGGAAGGGAGATAGTGGTCGGTGTACAATATGAAAATAATAATAATTTATAATTTATCAAGGGGTCACGAGGATGGGAGGGGAAAAAGAGGAGCTGATACCAGGGGCTCAATAGAAAGTAAATGTTTAGAAAATAATGATGGCAACATATGTACAAATATGCTTGATACAAATTATGTATGGATTGTTAAAAGAGC